GCTTCACTCAGTCACACCAGTTGCTCTCCCAGGCAGTCACCCCAAAGGTGAAGGCAGCATTCATGTGAACACCAGGAAATACCAGACACCATGGAGGAAAGAAGAGACTGAGCTTCCTGTGGTAGTTGTAGACCCAAAGTCATGATTCACATTACACTTTTGGCACAACACTGACTGTGACTTGAAGCCAGGTGTGCCATGGAAGGCAGTGGGGCATGCAATGGAGCAGTGAGTAATAGAAGAATAAAAATGAACAATTTAATAGTGGAAGACAAACAGCCATGAACAAAATCCTCTGTGGCTTGTTCAGAGTGATTACAGCCATAGCATACCATTTCTAACAGCCTGGCTGTTTAGGGACTTGGAATACAAAGTTCAGAAAAAATCCACTGCCCTGCACTTGCTGGGGAACAGGTAGCTCCCAAGCAGGAGAGCAGCCTAAAAGCAGGGGAGAGAACCATCCTTTGGGAGTCTGGGAGGGACTTAAGGATCCCCATCTTCAGAGTGCATGAAACAAAACACCCATTATCATCTTCATATATCAAGTGTGCATCAGCCCTAATGAGCCTCAGCAGAGATGGGTGACTAATTCCAAAGCAGTCATTTATTTGGGAATGCTGCTTCAGGTAGATTCAAGAGTACAAAAAACCACATGCAGTGGCTGACTGGTCAGATAATTCATGTGCCATGGCTTCTGCTCCTGACTAGATCAACTTGCAAGCACAAACCTCACCCTTTGGGAGCATACCTTTTCCTCTTCATGTATGCCTCTGGCATTTCCTACCCACTCACCTTTTTACCTGGCAACATACAAGCCCAACTGGTGGGAGAATGCAGTGCCAGTAGGACAGAAAAGTGAGGAGCAGGATGGCCCAGGAGGGGCTACCTGGAGCCTCCAGAGCTATAGCAAAACCAAATGCTTCTCACCTCTCCCTGGGAACTCCCTGCTGGCTGCTTAGTTCAGATCAAGCGCTTCAAAACTTTTTGCCCAGGACACAGGGACACATTAAAACTAGGGCACATCTGAGGGTGCCTAGCCTGGTGCCACAGCCTCAGCAGTCACACAGGGCTGCTCTGGGCTGGGGTGCAGCACCAGCCATAGCTGGACATTGTGGTTGAATCCCTGTGTCTGACTGCCACACAGCAGATAGGCTCCCCCATGGTCTATGCATGCCATGCAGCACCCCAACCTCTTCCCAATGTGGGACCCTATGTGCACACACACACTGCTAGCATGTGAGGAGGGAGCGACACTGGTGGGCTTCAGCCCAAAAGGAAACCCAGTAGGAGATGACTGCCCCAAGCAACCTGCAGCAAGGAGAAATGGAGGGGCCTGAAGTAAAGAGTTGCACCCCCAGGTCTCTATACCCTGCCATGCCTGCACCTGCAGGCTCCCAAATCCCCCTGCACTGAGCACACAGGCTTAGGGCACAAGCACCCGGCTCCTCCTGCACCCACCTCCTAGCCCAGCCCAGCCTGGACCTCAGGCCAAGCTGCGCAGCTTGGGGCTGGCAGGGCCCCAGGCTCAGACCATCCTGCAGGCACCGCTCCCTCTGCAGGGTCCCTGTCACCTAGCTCACCCCACTCACACCTGCAAAGCTCCCTCCATTTCTGCCTCTTGAGCTGAGGGGACTCAAACCAGCAAGTGGAGCTGCGATATCCCAGCTTCTCCCGCTCCCACCTGCTCCAGCCTTCCTGCATTCACAGGCCCCACAGCCAGAGGGACATGAGCACCCGAGAGAGCCCCATGAGAGGAGGATGGCACTTACCCAGCCAGAGGTTTCCACACGGAGCTGCCAGGTGCCCACAGAGGCAGGAGCTGGGGCTCTCCTCACACCAGGGCTTGGGCTCTTCCTCCTCAGGCTGCAACTGCAGCTCCGCATTCAAAGCGCTGCCCAGACTATCGCTTTTTTCGCAGGAAAAAAGTCCTCCATGGAAGTACATTACTGCATGACTGAGCTCCTTTTTTTTTTTTTTTTTTTTTTAAAAGGTAATTCTTAGTAGCTGGTTCAGAAGGTTGCACTGTGAAGACTTGCTTGATGTTGTTATATCATTTCAGCAGGCAAAGCCACAAAGTCCAGCCAATCATCAACAGCACTTCTGGGAGCTCAGACGCCCCTTCCCTACCCTTTTACTGTGTCCATAGCACTGCATCCTCCAGGGAAAGCAGAACTGGGAAGCACAGGGTTTGCCTCACCCAACAGGAAGCTTCAGGAAATCATCCCAAACTTCTCACAGAGATGCCACCAGGCCACTCTGCCTTGCAGCAGGCAGAGGCCAGGAGCCCCTCACCCTGGTTTTTATCTCTCTCTGGCCAAAGAGCTCAGCCTTGGCTCATTGCACTGATGTCAGCTGCAGCCCCGAGCTGCTGGTGCAGCTGAGTGACTCTGGTCCAGGTGCATCCCCCTGCTTGCCAGGGCACCACCACCCTTCCCATCCCATCTGCTCTCTTGTCAAGCAGCAAAAGGAAAAAAAAAAAAGAAAAAAATAAGTTGCCTCTGCAAGCCAGCAGGGGTTAATGTTGTCAGCCATGACGTCAGGATCCCAATCTGCCTGGAGAGCCCCCCTCCCCATCCCCAAACTCCTGCTCTCCTCCCCTTCTCCTGTGACTTTGCAATGAACAGCAAAACTCCACAGGAGCTGCGGCAACAGCATTAGGGAGACGTTCAGCTCTGCCTGCCTACGAGAGTCGCTTTCTGCAGACGGCAATTTATTTATTCTCCACGCATGCATATATGTATTTATATATCTACTGGGCTGCATTTGTTTTTCCTTTTTTTTTAACCTATCAGAAAACCCCCAAACCATCCGAGTGACAAGCGCCAGAATTCCATAAAAATAAAAAAACAGAGCCTGGTGGTGTTGCATGGCTCCCCCTTTCCCCTTGCAAAAAGAGAGGGAGGGGAGCACAGGCAAGGGTAGGTGAAATCCAGAATAAAATCACATTGCTAGATAACTCACGCCTCCCTCCTCGCACACACACACTCACTCACACACACACATACACACACACACACACAGACTCTTTCTCCTCCTCCTCCTCTCGCTGAAGGTGGGTAGCAGGAGCCATGCAACATCTGCAGAACCGGATGGCAAAAGAGCAGGAGGAAAAATAATCCAAGTGGAGTGCTCAGGGGACACCGAGTTCCCTTTTTCTTTTTCCTTTTTTAATTTCTTCTTCTGTGTACCTGTGAGATTCGATTTCACATTTTACTGAGCCCATTTGGGGGCATTTTATTTTTCTTTCTCTTGGGATTTTCTCCATTGCCAGAGGATGTCTCTTGTTGAGAGGATGCTGAAAGGAAGAAGAAACGAATTCTTTGACTGGCATTGAAGGTGGGGGGGATATTTTTCCCCCGCATTTTTTTTTTCATTATTCCTTTTCTTTAGGAAATCATTAACGGGGGGGGGTTGGTTTCTTTTTTCCCTCCCCCCCTTTTTTTGGAGGGGGATTTCAGAAGATCCATCCTTCTTTCCCCTCCCCTCTAAGGATTTTTTTCCATCCTTCGTCTTTGTGGAAATGTGGACATTTCAGGCAGGCAGATTGAGTGGAATTGTCTCTGCTTTAGCAGCGCTTTGTCTCGCCTGCTGTGCGCAAAGGTAAGGATTGCGATCCCAGGCTGCAGGGAAGGGGGGCCCATCCAGGATGTGCTTGTTTTGTTTGGGGTTTTCTCTGTTGATCTGTGTGTGCGAAAGAGCAGGGGGTTCTCTCCCCAAATTGCTTCCCCTGCTGTTGTTATTTCCCAGCCTGTGCCATTTTAGGAGAAGGGATGCTCATACATGAGATGTGCAGCATGGAGCAGTCTCCCTGCAGACAGAGCCCACCTCAGCCCACTTGCAGCATGCCCCCCTGCCATCCCTCCCTGCGTCGTGCACGACCGGGGAGAAAACAGCAAAATGAAGCATTTTGCTGGGGAACATGGTGTCCATCTGCGCTGCCAGACACCAGGCTGTGCGCATAGGGCTGCCTCGTCCGTGCCTGCACATACAGTACGCACGCAGCCACACTCGCAGCCAGGCGGGCCCGGCCTGTGCAGCGCCTGCATCTGTGCCTACGGGCAGCTCCGCGGTGTGAGCCGGCCACCAGCGCGCGGTGAGCGCGGAGCGTCGCCGCACACGCACGGCCAACCGTGCCCGCCCGGGCGCACACGCGTGTGCGGCGCAGCAGGCTCGCAGGGCACAGCACGGGTCACCCGCCCCTGCACGCGTCCAGATGTCTGTGCGGATACACTGGACACCCCAAATGCGGCTCTGCCCCGAGCACCCAGCGCAGCCAGGGGAGCAGCGCAGGTCCATCCTGGTCCCGGTGCGCAGAGCACACCTGTTTGCTCTGACACACACAGTGCCCTGCTGCCTTCGCCCGCAGGCAGGGGCTGCGTACTCCCCCTCACGCATATGGGCAGTTGTCCCTGTGGCTGCATGCTCGCAAGACGCATGGAGTTGCTGGGGAGGTATCTCTGGCATCTCCTTGCTCTGCTGTGCACGCTGAGCCGTGCGCTCCCGAGCGAGGCACGCGTGTAGCTCCCTGCTCCAGCTTGCAGGGCTGTGTATGCAAAGATTTATGTTCCCATAGTTATAAACAAGCACATGCGCAGCTTTGTGCCCCCCTTATCTATACCATTCCTGGGTGGTTTACTTTATACAGAGGCTCATACAGAGACACGCTTAGAGGTACTGTTTGACCAAATGAGTAAAGAGTAGAGTCCACATCAGCAGCATTTGCTCAGACATGTCCTTGCATGCGCATTTACATCTGCTAATGTGCAGGACTGAGAGCCAGCTGAGACTCGCATGTGCATCTCCGCACACCTTGCAGGCAGCATGCACTCTTCCCAGGCACACATGCCTCCCTCTCCTCCCACGCATCGCAGCCAGCAGCACACTGTGCATGCACGGAGACACTTGGCTGCAAGGGTACGTGTACATGGAGAGCACATGCACGCCCACATAGTCAGGGACACAATATTCAAACGTGCGCTTCACAGGCTGGGTGCACATGCTCCCTGCGTGGATGCAGACCCACATTCCCTGGGAATAGCACTCATATGCAGCTGCGTGCCCACGGCTGGGCAAATGCACGACTCGGCTGTTCATTGGGAGGGAGGTGGCCTCACAGATCAAAGGGAGCACCAAGAGGGGACCTTAATCATGATGCCAGTTTATGGCCTCCCTGGGCTAACATGTAGCTGATGGGGAGAAAGGGCCCCTAGATCCCTCTTTGCTTTGCCCCTGCCTGCAGGGCCTCTGCCACAGTTTGCTCTCTCTGCTTCCGTTTCCTTGCCTATAGGAAGGGAGTAACGCCACTTCCTGGGCCTATGGCTCGTGCAAGGCTAAGAAAATACAATGCCTAAATCCCCTCAGGACATACATATTATGTCCATGCTATGCATATGGCTATGTGAAAGTCTATATACCCAGGAATATCTAGAGATGGACAAATACTGGTGCATATGGTCAATCCACAGAGAACCTATATGCACAAGCACAGTCAAAAAGCTCACAAACCTGCCCAGAAATCCACAGATGCAAGAAGATTTTGCATGTGCAGGTACAGTTTTGTGGAAGTGTCCACCTGTGCGCACCTTTGCCTCACTTTTACAGTGAATAAAGCACTGCAATGAAGAGTGCTACCCCTACAGGGAGCACACGCAAGATCTCTGTTCAGACCCCACGTCCCCCTGCCCCGTGGGCACAAGTGCTGAACAGGTTGTCCCTGCACCAGAGCTGGGCCCTGCAAAGTGCGCTGTCTCACATTCTCTGTGAGCTGTTCACATGAAAAATGTGTGCACGTGCACAGCCCGAGCATCCCCAGCTGGAACATGCATCCAGACCTGCCACTGGTCGCAGATTCCCCCAGCCACACGTGTGCAGGGAGGCTGGGCCCCTGGGAATGCGGTGCCAGGCACCTGCAACTACCTGCCCTATGCACCTGCATGGGCAGCATCCACACGCTGTGTGCTGACTGAGCAGCCTCTGCACCCACACTCACTTCCACGTGGACCTGGTCACACCATTAGCAAACATGTTTGTGCACGTGTTGCACGCGCAGGACTCCAGAGCATTCGTGTGCCTGCATTGACAGGCAGGGAGCCTGCGCACCCACAGCACAGTCAGGAGAGCATGCAGATGTGTGCAGGTACCTGTGTGCACCTGCACAGAGACGCCGGCGCAACGCCCGAGTGCGGTGAGACACCAGGCAGTGCGGTGGTGCAGCCTTCAGCCCAACAGGCCCTTGGGAGGCAGTGTTGACAGGGATACATGCTGTCCTGGAGGGGGGCTGCAAAGAGTAGTATTTGCCACTGGCCTGGGGTCTCTATTCTCATGGAAAATAGGGGATAGAGGGTGACACAGATGCTGGGTTTTAAGGTGGGAAAACGTACAAACCCTGCAGCATTGGGTACGTTCAATATTTTTAGCATCCTCTGCTTTCTGGTTTCCCTTCCTTAAATTTACTTTGACTCTTGGGCTGCCTAAGAGGAGCGCCCCTCCTGATGAAATGTCTGAACGAGTGGGGACGGCCACCCCCTGCCAATGGCAGACAGGGGGCAGGGGCAGGGCAGACCATTTCTCTGGCATACAGAGCCAAAGATGGACTCTCCTTCTCCCTGCCGCTCTCTCTTGGTTTGCGTTGCTAAGAAGCCACAGTGATGCTGAGAGATACAAAATTTTTTTACATGCCAGCGATTGGCTTTAACATCATGGTTGTGGGAAAAGGAGTGTTGGGGTTTAGCTTTCCTTCAGTGATAGGAAGAAATATCTGGGTGCCTTGAGGTGGCACTGGGATGCATGACAGCGTAGGGTGCATGTTTTGCAGGGGGAGATTTGTGTCCTGGGGAACTCACTGCATTTATGTTGTATAAGGGGGAAGAAAGTGCCCAGCGTGGCCGGGAAGGCGAGAGAGCCTTGCAAGAAGGACCGCAGCAGCCCTATGCGCAGAAATACCTGATTTGTGTGTGTGTGTGTGTGCGTGCATGTGGACCCCCATCCGGGGGCAGTGGGAAGCCCGGGCGCTGCAGGTCGGTGGCCATGGAGAGGTCCATGCGGTAAGCAGGGCCACACCAGGGCAGGCGCCAGCGTGCTAGAATATCCTGGGATTTTGGGGAGTCCAGGCCGAGTCCAGGAAGAGGATCCAAAGCCATGCTGTCCTCCGGAGCCGAGGGCGTCCTCGCAGCTCGGCACGGCCCCATTGCAGAGCGGCCGCGGGACAGAGCGCCGCGGTGCAGCTGCCCCATAGCCCAGCAGTGCTGCACGGGATCCTGTGCTGGGGTCCGTGGCGTGACGAGGACTCTCTTCTTTTGTATTTCAGCCCCTCCACTGGGAATATTTCCGTGGTGAAAGAGATTGTGGACAAATTGCTGAAGGGCTATGACGTTCGCCTCCGGCCTGACTTTGGAGGTAGGGTGACCCCAGTCGCGCTGCCGGCACAGCACAAGAGCGGGCAGTGGAGCACGGGGCTGCGGCTGCTCAGCAGCAAGGCTGCTTTGACTGGGTGCAACACACTGCCAAACTCCCCCTTCTGCACGCTCACATCTCCCGAAATCCTGCTGCTTGGCAGCCTTCCTCTCCCTCCTTCCTTCTCCCCCACTTTTCTTTCTTTGCCTCCTAGTTTCTCTCTTCCTCCTCCTCCACCACCTCCTCTCCTCCCTCTGCTCTCTCCTCCTCTCCCACCCTGCTCTCAGCGCTCCCTTCCTCACTCCCGTAATGCATGTCATCGCCTCCCTGGTCCCACATGAAGCGCAGAGCTCTGTAATGCACCAGTCAGTCAGGAAAAAAAAAAAAAAAAACCTTTTGTCCAGGCTCAAGTTTGCTGAGAGTCATGGAAGACCAGAAATAACATATGAATATGTATGAATATAAATGAAAAAAACAACCTCTCCATCCCAAATTTGCCATTTCTACAGACAGTGACTGTAGCGTTCCCCATGGCAGGACATGTCTGGGGACATTTCCTGGGGACAGAGACACACTGGTTTTCTCTGCTCCAGACATCCTCCATGACGGGCAGCAGGTCACAGCTCCACCACATTCCCTGCTCCTAATGTGTTCCCTCTGGAGGGTCGGGGTGGCTGCCCACATGGCTCTTGGTCACTCTGTCTCCACTGCATCTGGGGGACTGCAGCAGACAGCCCTGCCAGGATGCACCCTCACTAACCCTGTGTGATGAAGTATCAATCGAAAGCTGGTGGTCTTGCTGCTATTTGGCAAAAAATGCTGGTATCTGCAGAAACATTCTTGGGTCACCTATGCCACTCAAGAGTACTGCGGGGTCTATTAGCTGGAGAAGCAGACTGTGGAAAGCCCACAGCTGACCACATGGTGAGCTGAGGGCTGGAGTGTGTCTAGCTTCAGACTGCCAAGCTTGGCTATTTTTGCTCTTTCCTGGGCAATGCTACTTCCTCCTCCCAAGGAGTAGTGTGGACTTGGAGGATCTTCAGGCTGCAGGAGAACAGGAGCTATATTGAGAAGTTCTCCAAACAACTTCTGGGAAGCAGATTCATGTGTGTGGTCTCAAGGGACATACACCAGAGTCAAGTCAATGGTGGTGCAAAAGAAGATTTTTTTTTTTTAAGTGAAAGGCTTGGCCTGAACTCTTGAAGTCAAGGAAGGGGGGAATATCATCCATTTTGGAAGTCTCCCTGCATATTCCAGTTTTCTGTGACACTCTAAGATAAACCATCTTCCTCTGTGGTTGAGCTCAGGCTTCCCTGCATTTCACACAAACCTGCCCCCATCCACTCGCTGTTTGGTTCCCTTCCAGCAGAGATTGCCTCCCTCTGTGCACACACCGTCCCTTGGCCATGCACACACCGTCCCTCGGCCCTGCACACCTCCTCCCTCCCACAGTGCTGCATGGGCTATCAGGAGGGCAGCACCAACCACTGCTGCACTAGGGCCCCAGGGAGAGCCACTGGCTGCAGGAGACGCTTGCCCCTCTGATGGGATCCCTCCGTAGTGCTGGTGCATTTCGGAATTTGCTTCAGGAATTTGCAGTGGGATGCAACTTTAGCAGGCTTGTAGTGCCCAGCAAGGAAGCGGGTAGCAGTGAGCCCCCCTCCTCCCTTCTCTCCTTTGAATGTGCAATACGGCTGGATTTGATTTAAAGGGTCTGCCCAGGAAACACCGAATGTCCCTATTAGCTGACCAGCACCAATCACAGAAATTGGTGCAGTCACATTTTATGAGGGGGAGAACTGCAGAGATGACATAAAAAACTGCAAGAAAACCATCTTGTAGGCTATTGAGATGATTATGATACAGTAAAGCAGTAGGTGATCTGGCTCCGCATAGGCACAAAGCAGAGGGGCAAGGGGTGATGCAGTGGGGAGCTGTGAAGGTGCCTGCAGGAAAGGGGTCCTGGTCACAGCCTGTCCGCTCTGGTCCCTCATGGCACCCAGCCTGCCCTCTGGGGCATGAAGCATCCCTTCTTTCAGCTCGGGCAAAGCTGCTTGGTGCAGGCACTGCTGCCTGACCTGCCAGCCCTGTGTGGTGCAGGAGTTGGGCTGAGCAGGCACTCAGCTCCTCCTGACTGCAAGATGGATGTTTCTGGGGAAAACATTGCATTTTATTTCAATTTACTTTGAATTCCCAAAGAATAAACAGTGTTTTCCTCACTCAAGCAGAGAGAGAGAAAGACAAGGCTAACGCTGTTTTCTGCATGCACCTCTGTTGCCCTTCACCCTTTCTTGTCCTTCCCTCCCCTCATAAGTGCAAAGTCCTTGCTGACAGCACCAGTGATGGGTGCCTTTGATGCTTGCTATGCAGTGATGCCCTAGACAACATCACTGGCTGCAGTATGTCTGGCCCTCTACCCTGGAGGATAAGTCTCTCTGGATAAAATTGCCCCTGCAGCATTTACAGATAAGAGAAGGATGGGATGAGAATGGAGCCTGAAAACTGGAAACCTTTAGCATTATAAAGCCAGGAAAAGAAGTGGATGTTTCCTTGCACTGCCACTGTCCCCAGAGCTCACCAGTCCTCTGAGATCTTGGGCCAGATCTATAGCTAGGATAAATCCTGTGGGGTCATTCCAGGAGCTTGTCTAACCCCCTGTGGCTTTTAGTTCATTTGTAAGCCATGGAGAAGGTGGAGTTTTGCACTCCCACCAGAATTGTGTGCAGCTGGAGAAGTCACACTTTGGGGAAAGCCTCAGGGGCTTTCTTGGTGCAAAACCAACCCCTCAGGTGAGAGGCATGGAGAGCAGTACCAAACCCTAGCCATAGGAGCCCTGTGGGATGGGTTGTTCTCCTAGGGAAGGGCAGTGGTACCTGCCCTTCAGCCCTGCCTCCAGGCAGCCCGCCCACGGTGGTGGACAGGCCAACTTGGAACTTGCTGCTCCTCCTTCCTCTGGGTCCTCCCCAAGTGCAGCCCCTTCTCCAGAGCACTGGTAGCTGGCCAGCATGTGGTGCTCCACACATTACAGGAATCTGAGAAACGCAGCCCACCAAAGTAACAAAGCAGGATGCCTTTCCTTCCTCCCTTCTCTGCTCTCTTTCCATTCCTTTTCCATTCCCCGCCAGCTTTTTAAGAGAGCCTGTGCTCCCGCAGCACAGCAGCACCCACGCTGCCCAGGTGTAAATGCGTCTTTGCTAGCGTGTGCTCCTCTCCCATCTCTGCACCTTTATCCATCCTCTACCCTTCCCAGGTTGAGCTTGTGGAGCTACCATACACTTTTATGCCCACTGTCTAGCTCTCTTCCAGCTGAAATTCTCTGCCTCCCCACATTATGAAGCTTCCTCTCTTTCTCTCTCACTCCTTTCCCTTGATCCTTTCCTTGCTCACAGCCCTGCTCTGGCCCCAGCACATCCTCATTGCCAGCCCAGGATGTGCAGGAAATGGGCAGGCAGGGAGAGCTGGAATCAGCCCACTGGCCTCAAAGTGGTGGCCTCAAAGCAAGAATGATTTCCAGGGCACTGAAGGCTCTGTCCTCAGACAAGGGCCCCCTCAAAGCCGCCAGGATGTGGTGCTTCCACAGCCCCAAATGCAACTCGCAGCTCTGCAGTCCTCTTTTTTGAAAAAGAAAGAGAACTCCGACTAATGCCAAAAGGAGGACAGGCCTGCTGGGGATTGCAGTTCACTTTTTAATTTTGAGATGCCTCGTTAGCTCTGGGCCGAGCTGAGTGGCTGAGAAGCGTCAGCCACTTACTCTCCTCCCCTCTCTCCCATCCCCTTGGAAACCCATTAGGGCAATGAGCAGGTCGGTTCTCAGGGGTGGCGATGAGCGCGATGGGCTCACCTAGAGATGCAGCTGAACTAGCGGGGCACAAAGGCGAAAGGGGCAAAGTTGGAGCCATACAGGGGTGCTGGAAAAGTCTGGGAGCAGCTCCTCCAGAAAGCCATTCTGGCTCAGACAAGGTGGCCCATGGGCTCAGGAGCAATGGGATGGCATTGAAGGGGATGCTTTAGAGGAGTGTGCAGGAGTAGCAGGATGTAGAGCAGTGCACGAGGGCCCTGTGGGTCAAGGAGAGATGTAAAGCCCAGTCCTCATGGGCTGAGCAAGGAAACAGCCTGAAGCTGAAAAAGCAGAGGGTTATTGCAGAGAAGGTATAAGGGCTTTGGCTAGAACTGTGAGGGGGGATCTGGAACAGACTTGAACAAGGGATCTGTGGTGCAGGGAGAAAATTTGAGCAGTGCTGTTGGTCTATTGAAGAGGAAGATCTCTGTCCTGGTACTACAAGCACACCAAGAGTGAGGCACAAGGTGTTTTGGCAGGGTGTATTTGGGAGCATGCTCAACGCACGGGAGCATGGCAGCTTGTCTCACAGGGTGACCATGACAGCTGTGTGGGATCCTGCTGGCCCTGGCTGGGGAAATGGGCAGCAAGGGGACCAATGCCTCCTTTCAGCAGGTGTGCTGCAAGTGATGTGCTGCAAGACAGGCCTCAGTATAGAAAGCAGCGTGTCCACAGTTTAGGATTGTATGAGCAGGGGATGCTGCAGATCAGATCTGGGAAGCATTGCAGAGCCAGGGGTGAGGTCGAGATAAGGAGCTTTCATAGCAGTGCTATGGTTATTGCAAGTGCTCTTAGCCTCTTACTTTCAGAAGCATTAGTTGCATAGGAGGAAAAAAAAATAAAACAGACAAATGAAGACTGTATTGCCTTGGGGTAGAGAAGGCAATGAAGGAATGGCAGGAGGAGCCCACTTGAGCTCAGTGACTCAGCTGCTCTCTGATGGTTGAAAATTTCCAGCCCAAAACTTTGCAAGAGTTTCAGACAGATATCTCTGCTACCCAGGAGTGGATGGAAGAGGATTCTGTATGGTTTCACAGCATCTTTTACAGATATGGTTAGCTAAAAGCAGGTTGAGGATATTCGCTGTTCCTTGTCCCCAGGCCACCTAGAGAGTGCGGGAATCCTGTTTGTTTTTTTTTTTTCTTTTCCCTTCCTGGGGTAATGT